CACTTTTAAAGGTAGCAGCTTTCTGTCGAATCAAAAAAAGAGATTATTAAATTGCCATTAACATTCCTGTTCAACTTCTTTTTATTAATTTTCGTCAGGCTAAGATTTTGTCTGCTATTAGAAATTAATTTTCACCTCAGTCTGGAAATGTCTGCAAAAGAGGCGCTTGATTTTTGGTGGATAAGTTTTAAAATTAATTTTAAGGCAATTTTTAAAGAAAGTTTGGCTGATTACCGAGGCAGTCGAGCGGACATTCGAGTGGTAAATATTTGCTTTAATAGCCCGTTACTAAGTTAAGAAATAGCGTGAGAAAAATGCTCAGGGGTTTGGGACTTTCTCGTTTTCAATTAAACTAATAAATTAAGTGAAGTGAATAAAACTAGCATCTCAGTTACTAATAACACTTATCTACTCTCTTTTTATCAAACAAGCCAAAACATAGAAACTGGTGACAGAAAGTCGAGAAAATAGACCACTTATTCCGTATCTTTAATATGCAAAATTGCTAAGAACTCCATTGAAATTAGTATTGATGACCGCAAGGTAAACGCTTGAATTGTAAAATAACATTTACATATGCAATACCGCATAATAATGGCCTCGACGGTGACACTAACCGAATTTATCGTGAACCTCAAAGGCAAATTTACTTGCTACTATTGTAAGGGGTATTTAAACAACCCCAAGACCCTACCATGTCTCCACAGTTATTGCAGCGGCTGCCTTCGTCGATTAGAAATGGAAAATCTAGGAGGAGAAAAAACAAGGTGCCCGTTATGTAAAGCCCCAATTGAGTTGCCTGACGGTGTAAATATTGAAAACCTTCCTTCGCCGATGTACCTGATTCGACTGCAAGAAATGCTAAAGATACGAAATAACAATCCTGAGCTGGCGTGTGGAAGCTGTGATCGAAAATCAGCCGCTATTTCTTATTGCTGCGATTGTAAATGCTTCGTGTGTGTAAGTTGTGTTGAAGTACACGAGCGAATTAAAGTGATGAAACTTCACCGCATTATTGAGCTAAAGGAGTTCTCGGCTAAAGATCTTTCGTCGTTGATACAAGCTCCTCTCTCGTGCACCCAAGAAGGACACAAGATGGAAGCATTGGATCAGTTTTGCAAGGACTGTGAGAAACAGGTTTGCGACAAATGCTCCACGTCTTCGCACAGGGGTCATAACGTGGTAATGATTAGCCAAGCGAGCAGAGAAAGCAAGAAGCGTATATGTCATGCCATGGATAATTTGCAAGATAAAATGTTATCTTGCCGCGAAGATATCAGGCGCGTAGATCAAAGCTACAAGACTGTGGAGCGGCGAGTGATCACAGCGAGGCAGGAAGTACAGAGGAAGATTGAAGAACTCATTGGTTTTCTAAGAAAGCACTGTGACTCTACTCTTACTGAATTGGAGGGTATTTACAGAGATCAGCAAGTTTCCATAATAAAGCATCGTAAAGAGCTGGAGCAACAGTTAAGTCAAATGCAGAGGGCTCATGAGTATGCTAAAGACGTTCTGGACAGGGGCATTGGCGGAGAAATATTGGACATGGAGCGGCCTGTTAAGAGACGCTTTCAGCAGCTTATTACAATGAAAACGAATACATTAACACAGTCTCAAAAGAGCATTAACGTGGACTACATTCCTGATCGGAATGTTCTAAGGACCCTTAAGGAATCTGAGCTCGGGCGAATTTTCGTTAGCCACACCGACCCTGCGAATTGTACAGCTGAGGGCGAGCACATGACTCAGCATCTCACTGGTACCGGAGAAAGAATCGAGTTTACGATTTACACGAAAGACTCCGATTGTAAACCGAGTTATTCTGAAAACGATCGCGTTACAGTGCGCATCCAATCAAAACAAGGCACGGAGATTCCCACAAGAATCGAGGACAAGAAAGACGGTAGTTACGTGGTGAGTTACACGCCGTTAAAGACTGGCGTTTACCAGATTGACGCCAGGGTTCGTGGCGAGCCAATTAAAGCAAATCCCTTTACAGTTCACGTGACTACAAGAGCGGAATATCTGAAAGCTAGTCGGATAAATTTGGAAAACGCCGCTAGGCCTCGAGAATACAAACCCCTGATATCATTTGGCCTTACCTCCAGCCAAAACAGTCTACAGCTCAAACGGCCATGTGGGATTGCAGCGAGTCCCTCTGGGGAGGTTGTTGTCGCCGACTCATGGAATCGTCGGATTCTAGTTTTCAACCGACACGCAAAGTTTGTTACTCAGTTAGAAGGTAGCTACGATATGACAAATCCAGTTGGCGTCGATTTTGATTCCGAGGGCAACATTGTGGTTTCCGACAGCGACAATCAGATGGTGAATGTCATAGATCGATCTGGCATGACCCTAAAAACGTTTGGAAGCGACGTACTCGATTGTCCGTGGGGAGTTTGCGTCACAACAAAGGGCAAAATTGCTGTGTGTGATTGGGGGAGTGCATCCATAAAAGAATTCTCACAACAAGGAAAGCTGATCAAAGAATTCAGCAGTAGCTTTTCAGCCAAACCGTATTACATCATTCATCACAATGGCAAGTACTTCGTCACATTCGATACGCATTGTGTGGAAGTATTCAAGAATGACGGCGGCTTCTTGTACAGGGTTGGCGAAAAAGGCTCCGGTGAAGGACAGTTAAGAGATCCAAGAGGAATGGCTATAGATGGTCAAGAAAATCTTGTTGTCTGCGATAGCGGAAATCACCGGCTTCACGTTTTTACCCCGGACGGAAAAGCATTCACAATAGGTTCTAGAGGCAAAGAGTTGGGACAGTTTGACAAACCTCAAGACGCTGTTGTAGCATCTGATGGCAGACTGTTCGTGACTGATTACAGTAATAATCGCGTGCAGATATTTAAAAATAATTAGATATCTATGTTTCTAGTGTCACTGACAATGATCGTTTTTCAGGAAGAGATTGCCCTTAAGCCTTACTTATGAAATCTAAAAGTTGGGACTGATTACATCTCGATTAACAAAACTTGAAATGATCTTAAGTGAGTAATTTGAGGTTATTGGAAATTAAATTGCTGTGAAGGAGAAATACTCCTAGAACGCGGATGTACGATGACTTTGAGCTCCTTAAGAAATTATAGAAGTATGACAAAGGTATGAAATACACTGATAACTTTTAGACCTGCTGATTCAATTCCTTGCCGACCTTGCCTGTTATGGGAATTTCACTCTCTCCTCCGTAGAGGTCTCTCTGTGTGATTGTCCGCAATGCGCTTGCTATTTTTTCGATTATTTATGGGGGGATACCCTACGGGAGCCTCCTAGTAGAAGAGAGGGAAGAAATTGTTGTAGTTATGGCAAAGATGGCGCTTGGGCGTCCCATTCTAAAAAACCCTGACCACCGAGATGTAGATTACTTACTTATTTCTTTATGCTTTAGCTAACTCAGTGCGCTCAGTAGTCTGGTTCATTTAAGGTGTTTGTGTTATGCTGGCGATTTTGAAGCTGTCAGACTCCCAACCCCCAGACTCCCAACACAGAGAATACAGAATTCAGACTCTGATATACCAACACATACATTCTACACGTAACAAAAAGCAAAAGTCTCAGAGATGTGATCAAGAGCCAATATTTAAAACATATTGGTCACTTTTTGCCGTTGTCCGAACAACACGCTGACAAAGATGATGCTATTTTCGAAGTCTAGGTGTCCATACAAACGGGACCCTTGGATAAATATCGCTAAAATGTCTCTATCGAGCACGCAAAGAGGTCTCACAAGACTGGTTTCGCTGCACTGGTCGACCGTGTAGTCGCCAGTGCAACTCCAAGGTAACAGGTTTACCGTCTGGAAGATTTTAACTCTACTGTACTGTAGTGTACTGTACTGTAGTCTTGTTTCAAACTGGACAGGAAGATCACTCGGAAGATTAAGGCTGGTTTGTCGATATCAGTTTTTGGAATCAGAGTTTCAACGTAGGGTACCCTTTGCTCGTTTATACATTACAATACAATTAGTTATTTCTTTATGCTTTAGCTAACTCAGTGCGCTCAATACACTGGTTATATATGAGCAAACATGATTGAAGTAATTTTTAGACCAAAGGGTTATTAACACTAGTCCTCACTAAAATGCGTTATTGCGTGTTATTGAGTGTAGATTATACAGACTGAGCAGGGTGAGTATTGACGCGGCAGGGAGCTTTGTTTGTGAGTTGCCTTGCAAGCCAGCCAACATCACCCACCAAATATGGCTGTAAACACGCCTGCTGAGATATAGATTCAGCTCCTACACGTGATCTGATTATCCAAGGATATGGGACAGCGAGGTTAAAGCCTTTAACCAAACAATGAGGCTTGTTGATAGAACCTGGTGACCATGGTGGTCTATCTCAAATTCGCGCACACATCAGGGGACATCTTTACCGATCATTTCATTCCTTGTTTTAAACTGTACCATAAGCAGTCTGTCAAACTACCCCTAACAAGTCGATCCCTAAAAAGCCCTGGCTGAAGTGGTAAATGACGTATTTACAATTAAAAATTCGTTACAGAGAGATAGAAATGTCCATTTCTCTTCGATTTTGGTACGAAGAACTACGTATAGCCAGTTGCTCAGTGAATAGAATTTGCATAATGGACCAGCCTTGGAAAATGGACTTTTCCACTTTGCTTGAATTCGAATTTCTAGGAACCCTTTGTAAGGTTGAAATCAGGGGCAGCCAACGACTTATTCTGTGACTGATAACTGTTCGAAGAATACAAAGTTAAAATTTCTAAAGTTCGAGTCAAAAGGCTAAAAATTGGCTAAAAGCAGCCCAAAACCAGTGCGTAAAAGAACAGTTTGGATTTTCTAAGTGGCCTACGAATACAAAACGTTTTTGTTTGAGATTCGTATGTTAAACAAATATGTTAAAGTTACAGAGATCACCACTGTTGCACTTGACCTAATCAACAGTATAATTGACTGTACAATCAACAGTATCGTTGATGGTTCCTTTTGGTAAAGACGCTCTCGATTACCCAGGATTCACTATCATTTATAAGGCGTCAATTCCCGACGATGTTCCACTGTCTTCTGACGTTGTATCGACGGACTGACGCGCGAACTTCCTTGAACAACAGCTCTTTGTGCTTGTCCACACTGTATCAAATAGACCCTTAACGTTAGACGTTTTAGAGGGAACAGTCTGCTGTGGCGTATTTTCCGCAGTCGCCAGGTCACCATTACTGTCACTATGCTGGGGCGTATTTTCCGCAGTCGCCAGGTCACCATTACTGTCACTATGCTGGGGCGTATTTTCCGCAGTCGCCAGGTCACCATTACTGTCACTATGCTGGGGCGTATTTTCCGCAGTCGCCAAGTCACCATTACTGTCACTCTGCTGGGGCGTATTTTCCGCAGTCGCCAGGTCACCATTACTGTCACTATGCTGAGGCGTATTTTCCGCAGTCGCCAGGTCACCATTACTGTCACTATGCTGGGGCGTATTTTCCGCAGTCGCCAGGTCACCATTACTGTCACTATGCCGGAGCGTATTTTCCGCAGTCGCCAGGTCACCATTACTGTCAGTATGCTGGGGCGTATTTTCCGCAATCGCCAGGTCACCATTACTGTCACTATGCTGGGGCGTATTTTCCGCAGTCGCCAGGTCCCCATTACTGTCACTATGCTGCGGCGTATTTTCCGCAGTCGCCAAGTCACCATTACTGTCACTATGCTGGGGCGTATTTTCCGCAGTCGCCAGGTCACCATTACTGTCACTATGCTGGGGCGTATTTTCCGCAATCGCCAAGTCACCATTACTGTCACTCTGCTGGGGCGTATTTTCCGCAGTCGCCAGGTCACCATTACTGTCACTCCGGTGGGGCGTGTTTTCCGCGGCCACTTGGTCAGCATCATTATTACCGATATCACCACGGTACATGGGACATGTCCGCCTACCAAAAAAATGTTACGTCGTGATAAGACTGACGATTTTGAAGGAAAGAAACTATACGATAACACAAAAATAAAGGCATCAGTTGTTAGTTGGCGTAACAACTAAACAGATCTTGGCATTGCACATTTATAACGTTTTTATCCGACATGACAAACGTTAATACTTTCAATATTTGTTGGCCTCGAACAGAGGTTAAAGAGCAGCGAGTGATGACTAAGCAGGTTTTATATTTACCTTCCAGAAAGAACAAGCCTCTCCGTGCATTCCTTGTGAACCATATGAAAGCAAGGAAAAATAATGGCACGGTAAAACTGAACTTCCTAAAGTATATCTAGAAAATAGGAATAATAATTTAAACAATTTGCGATTTATTTTACCAGGGACTATGGAAAATGAACTAAAGAGTAGTCATTAACCAAACAGAAACTTTTAATCCCCTTAGATAATAATAGCCAACAGGTTGTAATAGTAAGGATAATAAATAATATTTTTTTGTTTTAGTGAATTATATAGTGATATCAAAAATTCAAAAGAAGGAACCGGGCAAAAAGAGCAGAGAGGGCATTTGATTGTGGCGATAGAGATGCATCGATGCCTTCTACTTTCGCCTCAACAAACTCTGACTTGAATGACTGCTGATGTGTGTCCAGGTCCTCCTTCGCTCGTTGCCATGGAAACAGTTTTCCGTTATTACGGGCTCCACATGAGCCGTCGTGACTATTGCGGGGCTTCAGGTTTGCCCAAGTCCCATTTCGCTGAGGTTAATGATACAAGATCGCACAGTTCATCATGAATTGGTTCCACTTGGTCAAAAAGTGTAGGAAGTAGTAAATCATAAATGGGCCCCTCGCGCTGTACCCCTGAGTTATCCAAAACACTGCCCAAAGGAGAAGCAAGCGATGAGTTAACAACTTTTTGGCTTCATTCTCCGTTTAGAGTGCTGTAGCGGTTCATGTTTTTTAAAAAACATTCATCAACGGTGTGAATATATTGCTTTGTTAATTGTAACTTCCAACAACACTCGTACTAGAAAGGTGCAGTTACCCTTTAATAACCGACGGAGGTCACTGTCGAGGCAAAAAAAAAAAATTGTTTGCAGAATGATGCTGATCTGACATAGAATTTATTCCACTTGAACTTCAACTTACACTTTATAGTTTGTCACACCGTAAAGCAAGAGAAGCTTACCTCATAATAGGGGCAAAACTGTTTCACGCAAGGACGAACGTGAACTGTACCTTAATTATTTACGCTATCTATCATGCTTTCTATTGCTCTCATTTTTAGTTCATCATTACCCTCTTATATAAAATTTAAATTCCAAACATTAGGAGGCGTTATGTGTAGCTCTGGCCCTGAGGAAGGCTGATTTTGCGAGCCGAAATATTAACCTCAAAGAAATAAACCCTTTGCCGTATTGCCAGCCTTAATTCAGTTTTGTTGGAAAAACATGGTTTGCACAGACGACGGCTCAGAAAATAATTGTTTGTGCCTCCAAAATTTAGATCACCACCCCCACCTCCCCTCCCACCCCCCGAAAAACAATAATAATGTTCCGTCTCTAACATTACGCCACTGAGCATTTATTGCTGGAATATGTTTGATTTGTCAAGCTATATAGCAACAACACTGACACTAACTGGAAGGTAACTGTTCCGAGTCATTGCTCAGGCCTTAATCACTATTTTCAGGGCGTAAACCTAATCACTATGGTTAGTGCTTAACCCGGCCTAATCACTATTTTCAGTGCTTAACCTTAATCACTGCCGCCAGTGCTCGAAACCGAGGTGATACTATGTTCCGTAAACGAGGGTCTCAATGGGGTGGTGGCATTTACGGTTATCGGCTAAAATTTTGGCTCTTTTACGGCTATCGCCTAATTTTTTTCAGTTACGGTTAACAAAAAAGTTAAAAATTAACTTCTTTTGTTTCAAAAAGTTAAATATTAATTAACCTGTATTTTTTGTATCTTTAAAGCAAAATAAAGGTCTTAAGATCATCTCGGGATGTGAAACAAGCTACTCTTTTGAAAAATTTTAACATTTGATAAATCGTACTTTTTATAATGTAAAAAAACAAGTTTTATAAAGCATTCCACTTCTAATATTATTTTACACATAGAAATGTCAAAAGTCAATTAAAAAAAAAATCTTTGTGAAAAAGCAAAGCACACACGCGAACGCCCAACTCACGGGCCGGGGCGCGACATTCATTACAACAAAAATGGCCGTTTTCACACTAGAGACGGATTATTCGTGTGAGACGGGTTATCCGTTTGATGATTCGCGTCAGATAGGTAAATACGTCTTAATTTGAAAATGGAGTAGTTTTAATTTTGAATGAACAATCCGCGTGACTTTATCCTTCAATTTCGACGGACAGTTTGAAGACGGGATTATCCGTTTCAGATAGCCCCCTCCCCTCAGAAAAAAAATCGGAGAATGGGTGTCTGTCGCGAAGGGAGGGACTGTACACAGGCTAGTCTCAGACGGATAATCCGTTTCTAACTCTGGTGTGAATCGGCCAATAACAAAATTCCCGTGTCCAGTGTTTTTAATGATAGCGAAGGACTGTACGGAACCACTGTCAGCCGTTGCCTTGTCCGTAGGCCTCATCATTTCGCGCGGCTAATGCGCGTTTCGGGTCACCTGGTCCAAGCGAGTTCGCCACCGAAATGCCTTGACCAAGATTGCGTGGGAAGACGCCGTACAGGGACTAGGCATGGCAATGTCTACTGTAGCGTCAGAGAAAAACAGGGAAATGTTGTTTATCGGCAACGTGCTTTACAAACAGTGAGATCTCTGCTTGTTGTTTCACTAGTGTTTCAAGGGCACGACCTTCTGAAAATCGCAAATATTAATTCCCAGCAAGAAGCCACACTTTCGCTATGGAAAAAAAATTAGTTTTCCCGAGAGAGCGACGGAAATGGAACCAGGATCTTGGTCAACACCTAAAACGCGCTTTACCTAGCGTGCGTACTGAGCCACGCTAGCCGGGAAAGAAAAAACGCAACCATAAGTGAGTTTAGTACCTTCCTTAAAAGTAGCAAATCTAGGGAACAATTTCTTTTACGGTTAACTCTTTTTTACCCTAATTACGGCTAACGGTTAAAATTTTTCAATTTTTACGGCTATCAACTAAATTTTTGGCCGTTTTACGCCTATCGGTTAACCCCATTGAGACCCTCGTAAACTTCACAAGATGTCCAAGGTGTTTTTGACCCATGGGATCTAATCAGATAACCGCTAAATGGGCAGATGGTTGAAAACCTCTGACAAAAGTCATTATTATACATTGTATCTGTTTTCTCATTGGCTAAGAGACTACCGATAATTTTGTCATGGAAATCAGCGCGCAACTTGCAGAATAGTTAGTAATCTGCTTACAGATTAGTGACTAATCTGTAGCTTGCGCGCGCAAAGCATAAATGTAATTTCCAAGAGCAATGTCAAATGTTCCACGCGATGCGGTGTTTGTCCCTTTTTTCTTCAAAATAGTGTATAATAAAACAATCATTAGATTCGGTCTTAGTAATATCCAGAATAATCAATATCTCAGTAAGTGTTTTCAGCATAGCAGAAGGCCGAGGCTGATAACAGTTACCTGTCGATCGACCTTCATTATTCCTGATGTAATAAAAAGCTCGTCCTATAATTGTTTAAAAGTCAACCCAGTTCGTCAGTTTCGTGTGGAGATCGAAAACATCGAACGGTTCCGTGTGAATATAACAATAGATCATATAATGGCATGCTTCTTAACATCCCAACATGCAAGCCTTTAAACACGCTGGGTGATCGATCTTTTTATATGGCTGCCCCCAACTTACGGAACGATCCACCACTTTTTTAGAAATCCATCTTCTGTAAACACATTTGTTTCCTCGGCGTTCCCTAGTAATTTGCTTAGCATGTTGTCGTTAGTCGAGCTTGCGTTAGCAGAGCGAGACTATAAAAATGCAGGCGTTTCTTTTTTTTCTTTTTTTTTGTCGGTGGGAACCAGGTTGGGGGGGGTACTTCCTTATAAGAGGCTGTGGATGTGCCTCTGGATGGGGTCGCATTTTCACGACTGGATTGACTATAATGGGGTCACATTTTCACTAGAGTTACTAGAATGGTGTCGTACATTTTCGGGTAAGACAGGGTAAGACCGTTGTTCATATTTTTTAGGTTAACAAATGTACCAGAATGTTTGTACTGTAGGTGAAAAGTAAAGTGTTCTTCACACAGTTTAAAATAGAACGTCACCGCTAAGTTGGGATCGCGAAAATTACATATTATCCCAAAAGTGACTAAGATGGGGTCTATAATTGTTCACAGAATAGACTATAATGGGGAAGGGGCTCTGGGAGGCCAGCGGCACATACCCAACAAAAATTTACCCAAGACCCCCCCCTTCCCAGGGTGGGCACCATTCCCAGGCGTTCCTAGCGGAGACCGTGGGAACTGAGGACTGTTTGGCAATGATGTAATTTTCTCCGATTCGGGGCACTTGATTTTGGTGTAATTATGCACGCGTGTTAAAAAGTAAATACCTCGATGAAGAAACATTATAGCGGGGAAATCCTGTTTTGTGGTGTATTGAGGCGTTACGTTTCTCAAAATATTGTAACAATTACTGGAACCCTACGGTTAAATAGATTCACTTTCTTGTATGTATTTAATTGAGATATCAATGATTTAACCTTCGACTACTACTGGGAGCAGCTTCAACTACCCGTCTGACGTTACGTATCTGCCACGGATGTGTTTATACGGGTAACTTTGTACTTGACCATCACGCACTCTACTTGCAGCACTTCGTGTCGATCCATAGAATAGAAATCCCATATTGAGCTTTTCCGGAACGGGTCGGTCCACGTATTCTATCGCTTGAAAGCGTGGATTACTTTAGAACAAGTGATTACTTCAGTGGTCGAAAAAAAGAACAATCTTAATGAGTTTAAGGATCGAGCCGTGATAGGGGATCGGAGATCGATGATCGGTTACAAAAACTTGATATAACTGAAATTCAAATCGTGGACCGTGGTGATGTCATTGTGGGCTGCAAATGCACTGTAGATAAATTTCACAGAACATAACCCCTTTCGCTGTACTGAGCACTAAATTGAAGTACATTACTCCGGGTCTGACTGAGTCAGTGAATGTTTTGACGAAAAGTGAGATTTTTTTAACATGCAATAAAACTATACGGCTAAACCAAAAGGAATTGTGATCTTCTGTGATCCGAAACAAATTATTCAAGCGCCACAAGCGGAATCCTACATCTACTTCTTGGGATGACTATAAGGGGCAACGTAGCAAGGTTACGTCGCTAGAGCGCAACGCCTTGAAAAGGTTCTGCTGTGACGCTTCCTTGAGTGCTAGACATCCGGGCGAATTCTGGAGAAAAATGAAGCCCCTTTTGCCTTCTAGTTCTGGTAAAAACATACAAGGCGTCATCCTCGTTGAGGGCAGTAGTGTTGTTTCCGACCCTGGGTGTGTGGCCGAAGTCTTTAGTGATTACTTTGCCAATATCATTCAGTTAGAGCATAGATCTGACTCTGACTACACTGACCATCCTAGTATCAATGTACGTTTCTCAAGTGAGTTTAATTACTCCCCAGTCAGTACTTCATATATCCGTAACATCTTAGACCACCTTAATCTGAGAAAGGCAGTTGGGGTAGACGGCATTTCACCACGAATCTTGCGTTTGGGATCCCCAGTTCTTGCCGAAGTGGTGACTAAGTTGATCAACTTCTGTATTCTGAATCGCTCATTGCCGTCTGAATGGAAGCAAGCGCGCCTTACTCCTGTCTTTAAACGGGGGATTGACACAGACAAAGCAAACTACCGCCCTGTCTCAATATTAACTTCGCTATCGAAGGTATTTGAGAAAGTTATTTACGACCAAACTTGGAATGCATTTCATAGCGTTTTGTCCTCAAACCTATCTGGATTTATGAAAACTCACTCTTGCTGCACTGCATTGCTAAAAATGACGGAAGATTGGAGGAACAGTATTGATAACAAGGAAGCTGTAGAGACGGTCGCTGTGGACTTGAGCAAAGCGTTTGATGCCATAAACCACAGCCTTCTGCTCGCGAAGTTGAAGGCCTATGGCTTTTCTCCACATGCCTTGGAACTGATGTCCATCTACCTGCTAGGCCGTCAACAATGTGTCAGATTAGAAGGCGTATGCTCTAACTTCAAAACAGTTAAATCTGGCGTTCCTCAAGGTTCACTATTGGGGCCGTTGCTGTTCAACATATTCATTAATGACTTGAATTTCTGTGTTCCTAATGTCTCATTGCGGCTGTACGCTGATGACACGACTGCCTACCTGTCTGATGTATCTCCCACCATTCTAGAATTTTCCTTCAACAAAGATCTTCAGACTCTTTCGTCGTGATTTGAGTCTAACCATTTAACAGTGAACAGTACTAAGACTCAAGCATTATCTGTCGGACCCTGTGCCTATCATTATTCTTTATTTCTTAATAATGCTAGAATAGAATTTCTCCGATCTATTAAGATTCTCGGAGTTACTCTAGACAAGCACCTATCCTATAAAGAACACATATCAGATCAACTAAAGAAAGCCTACGGGAAGGCCTCTGCACTGAGAAGAATAAGGCGTTTTCTTTCTCATGATGCAATGATAAAACTTTATAAAGCATTTATATTACCTCATCTCGAATACTGCAGTCCTTTGTTTGTAGGCATAGGTACGGGTCAACGCAACCGTCTCGAAGATGGCAACTGTTATATTTTGAGAACATTAATCGGGCACAACAAGTCAATGTAATACGACGAGCTGCTCACTACGGCTAGCATGAAATCCTTATATTGTAGGCGCTTACACCAGGCGTTAATACTTCTTTTTAAATGCTTAAATGGTACGGGACCTACTTATATTGGAAGCCTTTTCAAATACAGGCATACACCGTATAGGCTAAGAGGCGAGGGCTTGAATTTGGAATTACCTAACTTTAATCTGAAATATAAGAAGAATTCTTTCACTTATTCATTAACTAAGTTATGGAACAGTTTGCCTTCTCAAGTGCGTCTTTCAAGAGATGCTAATGACTTCAGAAGTAAATTGCACGACTGTAACTTTTTAGAACGTGTCTTATAGCGCACGATTGTAGCTTTTAACTGTTTTTAGAACGAGTATTATAGTTTTCCTAGTCACGTTTTTAGTATGTGGCTTTTTAGTCGGTTTTAGCTTTTTATATTTTATGTTTTTATTACCAAGTTTTTTATATGTATATATTTATTGAGTTGTTTTTAAAACTGAATAATATTATATAGCTGTAATTATTATAGATTTTATTTATACACGTTTGAATTTTGAACGAGTTTCTTAGCTCTTTGACGTAACGTGTTAAAATAAATGATTGATTGATTGATTGCATGATGACCAGTGCACTGACTCTCCCAGAGAAGGACTAACGGAAGGTACCACGCTTTTGCAGCACCCTCCCCCCTAGGGATTGACATGGAGGCCCCTTTCCAACCCATGGCGAGTTAGCTCAGGGACTGAGCTTGACAAGGAGACCAACCAGGACAGCAAGCCCCCTATGTTTTTTCTAACCGCAGTGACCAGAAACCTGGCTATCGCCAGGTTTCTGTGCGAATATTCTGGCCCATTTTGGGGTATGTTTTCAAAATTCGGCTAGATATATAATTAATTAAACTAATAAAATAATCGTTCAATTTTTTGAGTGTAAATTATGTAAATGGTTTTAAAAGGTTTCACACCGGTGTTAAGCTAAGATGTGCGACCTGTCTCTCCTTGCAATAATACGTTTTGAGTATTAGCATTATAACATATAACACTCATTTTGTATTCAAAACGAAAAAGTAGCCTTTCAGCACCAGCGCCTTTGACAACAATAACTTATCTCCAAGCCCCGTGGGCTCCACGCAAGCGAGACTCAACCCTAATATGAGCGTTCTTGTTGTTTTTAGCCTTGTAAAACTATTTACAATTTGTACTAGAAATGTATGTAATGCAAAGATGAAGTATTTAAATAGTTACCAAGTTAATCGAACTGGGCGTAAAAGAACCCGCACCACTGTTCGAAAAGTGTAGGTGCCCTACTGGGGGCGTCTCCCAGGTGGTGTGGTCTACCTTGCACACATCATTCATATCATTTGGCTGCCGGGGTGGGTTACAGTAAGATCACAAATAAACTGATCAACTTACAGGACTCCATGATTTAGTCGTGGAGTGGAAGGGTTATAATTAATACACAAACACAAGCAAACACCTGTACAATGTAAGCAAGTGCAAACCTAGCTTCTAATCGTCTGTTACATCATTCACAAAAGTCAGCTCTTGTTTCCTTATGATCCTTATCTGATCGTATTGAAAGCTTAACAATTCATATCTTATTTAACGAACATATATTTCCTGAACAGCAGATGCGCGATTTGTCAATCATTCTAGCTTTATATTTCACATTTACAAGATCTACAAGTATAGAGTTCAGTGTCCTCTCTTCAAATGCAAGCTATCAGCAAACTCATTTCACAACTGCGTTGCGATGCACTATTACTACCCCTGAAAGTGTTTGTGAAAACCTATTGGTTAAGCATTATTTCTTAAACGGGCTCGTTGGGGGTAACGAGCTAAACATTATTTTTGCACAAGCATGGATTCATACCATATTTAACAATGCATATTAACAAATCGTTTACAAGCCAGACAAATTCTGTGTGATTTGCCCTCTTCCGAGTCTCCTCCTAGGTTAAGGTAACCCACAAATGGCCAAGACATATCGGCGATGCCGGAATCTCGCTCATTCACATTCAACTCTTCCTGGAAAATATAACTGGAAGCGCTATCCACTGCATGAATACACGAATAACAAACCTTACATTCGCAGATTTCACACACACGTGACCACTTTCCAAATAAAGAAAATTTCCTGGTACGGCAACAAAAGCACAGCCTGCCACTGGCCAGATCCTTGTAGAGCTTTTGTTCAGGGTCTAGGGCACCAAGTTCCAACAGAGCCAAAGTGCGGCGCATATGTTTCACTTCTTTCATCGTCATGTAAATTTTGGACGTTATTGTGACAGCGCGTAGATTGTCAAGTGATGGAGGAAAAACTGGGTCACATTCAATGCTATTTATGATCTCAAAGCTGTTGAAGTTTCTGTTTTTAATACAGTCCTCGTCATCGAGTGACAGAAAGCTTGAATCACTTGAGTTACTCGACCTTCTGCCTTTGCCATCGATGTCATCTGATTGGCTGAGAGGACCGGTTTCGTTGTTATTGTATTCATCTTCGGCGTCAGAGGTGATAACATGAGGGGTCTCTGCTCGGCTAATGATCGGAGATATATCGATTTCTACTGTCGATGATGAATCCCAGCGGTTGATAAGTTCAGTTAGCTTGTTTGCTGGCTTAAGGCACTTTCGCTTAGGAGGAGTGACATTGGAATCATTGAAGGAGATGCCGGTCTTCTCCTCGAAGTATAGCTCTCTAACGCTCTTTAAGACTGGCATCGGCGTCGGTTTTAACTTCGGTGGTGATCGGATCTCACTCAGTAACCTGTCGCGAGGACTTGGACTTCTCTTTGGGCACTGCTTCATTTTACGAAGGCTCGCCTTTGTCAGCGGTGGTCGTGAACGAATAAACTCCAGAATTACATCATGAGCGTCCTTCTTCACTTGAGCGGTGATGGCAACGTGATTCAGGGTGTAGCGTTTGAAGCGAATGTCCTTGAGAAGAATTTCGTACGGAGATAGCTCGTATGTAGCAGGAGGCAATTTGGTTTGATCAACATGTCGTAAGCTGACACCTTGGCGTAGTTCTCTCATGACTTGAAGCCACAACTGAGCCCATTCTGCCTCTTGTAGTTTCTGTAAAAACGCCCAATTTGTAGGTCCTACACCACGGCCCCATGTTTGAGCGACAAGAGCACGCCCATTACAAAGCTGATGAAGAAACGTTGAAAGTTCAACGGCTTCGCTGACAAGAGCTCGACAAACGGCGCGGAAATGTTCTCCAGGGTCCAAAATATCCCTTGGCAAGTGGTTAACGCAGCGACTCAAAACAGCTTCCAACGTGATATCTCCTCTAATGATTTCTTGATCTTTTCCCGAGTTTCGTTCTTTTTTTGACGGAATCAGTCCACGAGGGCTGCTCGTTGTCTCGTACAAATAAGCGTCTGAGAGGGAAATACCTTCGTCTCCTTGGTCGCAGTTTGTCATGTCTAAAATAAGTTTTTCCAGTTCTTCGTCGAGTTCCCGCTCCACAAGCGCCTCCATACCGAAATCTAGACACTCGTAAACCACGCTGCCCAGATTAAAAAGTACCGCCGACTCTTCTTCAACCGAAGAAGATTCGTTTATACTGGTGAAGAAAATGCTGCCATCTTTACGAATTTCGATTGTTGTCAGTTCAATGTCGATCTTTTGTCGTCTTAAAGCACCGAAGCTTTCTTTACGAATGGCAACCAACTCCTTCGCGCTCTGGTAACAGACAGCCAAAGCTTGGTTCTCGCTAAGTGGTGCTCTGAAGCAATTGAGAATATCCGACAGAAACATGTTGTCTTTCGGCGACGCTACATCACGTTCTTTGTAGTAAAGAGACAACTTTTTAATACGATAGCGAGAATTCAAAATTCTTTTCGCCTTGACTGGGCGAGTTCCTTCGTGGTTTATTACAAATTCATGCCGCTATCAAAGATATTTTTTCTCTCGTTTTCTCATTGGCTGAAAGGAAGAAATGACATCAATAAATTATTTATCGCTGGCGGGAATTCAATTTGGTCCATCAATTGAAAATTCGTTTGGCGTGTTTTGGATAGTGTAAAAATTTAAATTGAAAAAAAGAAATGGACCATAACAATATATTAATTGACTACTTGACATCTTTCTTTCCATTGAGAAGAGGCATGCATTTCTTAGCGGAAGAAGTTTTACTCACATTTTTCCCACTAACCTTTTTTCACTCACCTTTACCGATTAGACCGATAATTGACAGATTTTGAATATGTAATGTTTTAAATTTTGTTTGGAAAACACTTTTCATCTTGAAGCTGAAGATTTCATTCTGACATTCCGTCTTACAATACTGTCCTTTTGGTTATGATAAGTTATTCCTCCGGGAAATCGTCTTCACACTCAGAGGTCACCTATAAAAATTTTATGTGAAAAATTTCTTCCTTCTTCAACAAGATCCTCGTCTGTTTGTTATGTAGTTTCTTTATAATGAACCCCAGGTATGTTGCATTGACGATAAAAGAAAAAAATCGCGGTTGAATCTAAAACGAAAGTTGCTTTCTTTATCAAAATATTGCTGGGTTGTTTTTCTTATATTTCCCTAGCTTTATGCAAATACCTCGCCTGTATTACATTTATATTATGTTCATGAAGCAATCTGTCCATCCGGTCAATTAGTCGAGGTTTCCTTTTAAAACATTATAATCCTAAATTCATATTCAAATTCAAGAAGTGAAAAACCGAATGATTAATCAGCAACTGTCTGCATTTCTAAAATTAGAAAGAAATGTCGCTTTTTCTTTTGTCTGTCGGATTGCTTTCAAATTAAGTTTTTGACCACCATGCGAGAACGCACATACAAAGATAAATCACAAAAAATAAACTGATGAAGCAATATCGCGATTGTCCAAGCATCAAATTGCCCCGAGCTCAATATATTATTTTTGAGTGACAAATATGATTATGAAAACACTTCTAGTCCTATTGCTCAAAAGGCCCCTTCTTTTTTCGGAAACGATTTCCAGAAATATACATTTTATCATACTGAGAATTGTCGTAATGTCTTCCAAATGTGTGTGCGTTTTTCCCTTTTTTAGGTCTTTATATTCCTTCCCCTAAAAATATAACATGACGAGAGGGGCAATGTGAAAAGCGCGAATGATACAGGCCTACTTAGTGAACTATCTGATCCTAAAATTTATCTGCAGATGCCTTTCTCCTCTCTCTATTCTCCTGTCTTGATGCCAGATAGTCTGATCATTTCGCCACACCTTCAGGACTCCGCGCTCGCACATGTTGAGGAAGGATTGACTGTCTTTCAATATTTCTCATCGGTGTTGAGTTCAGAGCCGCCCAAATTAGTCCCTGTTATAAATTTAAGTTTCGTATTAAAAAAAAGGAATATAGTGCGGTTTTTCTTATCACAATTTTTTTGTTTCTTTTATATATGAATATTAAGGAAAACATTGCTTCTCTTTTTTCCCTGAAAACCTAAAACCAAATGCTAATACCTTTAGAGTATTTAAACTCAGGCTTTGAAATAATGATTTACACGATAATTTTTTTGCTAATACTTGACCTTGCCCTAAGATCAAATTATTCTCGTTATTAATTTTTCGTCTTTGCTTAGTTTTGACGAGATGATTTTGAGAATTTTTTTCATATCAGTATTACCCACTTTTGAAAAGTCTTCTTCCATTTTCCGCGGTTATGACAAAGCGTTATAAAATTTCTTTTTGGCGAATTTCTCAAGATTAGCAAGGAGTCTTCTTAAAACAAACGTATCGAAATGCTTTTTCATTTAGATGTCAATTCAACAAACAAACAAGAAACCCTAACAGGTTGTAGACTTACTACTAACCAACGGGCGAAGCGAGCGCGATGAGGTCGGGCAGCAACCGAACGAACGACGAACGAACTACGAAGTCTTAAGGTCGACCTGATCCGCCTGAATGGATTTGAATCATATTTTAATTTCGGGTGAGAAAAAAATGATTGACATTATGACATATAATGTGTCGGGAGCGGCCTCAAATATCACTCACTCCCCTATTGGTCAATTTGTTATGACGTCACCAGTAGAATTCAGTTTCGCGCCAACCAACCAAGAAAAAAACCCATTTTTTAGAAAGTCTAGACGGGATGTTTCTATAATATACAATGCACGTCAAGGTTTTAAAGGCCAGGGCGCAAAACTTTGTTGCTTGAATTGAACTCTTAGAATATTTAACAGGCTTAAATCTCAATGGTAGTTTCTGGGTTTGCCAATTCCAGTCTTCTGTGAAATTTTTCTTTAATAGTCAATTTGATAGTTTATTATTAGGTTTTGGTATTTTTAGTATTTTAGCAATTTTATTTTTTACACTTTAGTACACTGCGCTATTGCCTTCTACCACCTAGAGTGACATAAGCCATCTAAAGAAAGAACTTTATTATTATTACTAACTGACTAATAGTAAGGTTTTACTTTGCCTTGTAGTTGCTTATCTCACATAGATTTTATTCAGTCCGAAAGCAAATGCCTCTAGTAGGTTAGAGCCCTCGCCACAATTATTCCAAGAGGAATTCGTTTTTACGATTTTTAGAATCTAGCTTTACAGTTTATGTGGAGAAATAGAAAAGGGGAAAAAATCATGAAAAAGGGTTATATTTAAGATTTGTTAGTGATTTAACATTTAAACGTAAACTAGAAATGAATTGTTTAATTTTCCACACTGTTTGCGCAAAGGAATTATTTTCGTACATGTGTCGTACTGTGATTCCGTTTTAACTCGCGGTTTGACTTAAATGAACTGTCACTTACCAATCATGAAAAACCACATTCTCGTTCCCAGCGCTTCTCTCCTTTCATATCATGACCAAAAGTATCGAAGCTCTGGGAACGAGAATGAACAAACGCCTCTGACCGTGAAAGTTAAAATTCAACCCGGTTGGTTAGTTCCGTGTGACAAGATCGAAAACTGAACGGTTCCGTGTAAACGAAAGTCGAAGTGTCCGGTTACATTTTTCAGCCGTCGAAAATTCGTCCGGTGCCGTGTGAAAACAAATGCCCTTCAAAATATGTTCCCTGCATAAAATTATTATTTCTTCCAATTCTTTTTATATTTCATTCTTTTTCTCTTCACCCCTACCTTTCAGTCAACAATCAGGGGCCAAGGGTCAGGAGCCCATCACTCATAGGATCCTGCTTGTAATCTGTTGCTGTTGTTGTCACAGGGTCCAGAGGAGTTTCGTGTGAATAAATGAATTACTTACCTTGAAAAATGTCCATACCTGTCGCTTAGCACGATTAATTAGCCAATGGGATCTTTATAAATCTACTCTAAACGATTTCTTCGCTTCTTATCTGACCCAGATCGACTTTTGAAAATCAATAACAGCAAGCCATATCCTCGCTGGCGCACGGCACGTCGCCCAAAGGGTGACCGGAGGCGGTCGCCCGAAGGGCCGAGTGAAAGAAAGGACAGGGGAGGAAACTTGTACCACGTGACTTCGTTCGCTGTGAACCGCATCACTCGGTGACGGAAGTGAATGAGACCGGAAACGCAAAAGCAGCAGACCGCTGCTAATTCGAGAATCAAAACATCAGCTGCGGAGAGAGTTTTAAAGATCTCAGAGATCTATGCGAAAACAACAGAGTTTTAATTGAAGTGAAGATCTTTCAAGACTGGACATTTGTTGTACGTTTCAACAGTCTTCGATGTGTTAAGCAGGTTTTGCTTGTGCGAAGGCTCGCCCAGTAGTCGCAAAACGCACAGCCAAAGACGCAAGAGATATAGTTGGACCACCGAAGAATGGCACAGTCGTGATGATATTACAGTTGCCTTCTGCGTAGAACAAGCCGTTTCAGCGTAGCAGGCTTTTTCCGATCGAGTTATTGCTTTAAAGTTGAAGCAAGAGCAAAAAAAAAACAAAAGACGAAACAAGAGATAATAATAATAATAATAATAATAATAATAATAATAATAATAATAATAATTATCATAATCATAATCATAATAATATAAAGAAGGGAGGGGAGAGGGAAGGGAGAGAGGGAAAGAAGAAATTATTTACCGTCCTCCTCTCCCTTCATCCCTTTCTTTTGCTTAGTAGCTCCAACTTTCTCCAAGAACTCACGCGGAAACGCTTGCTGGCGGCTGTTAGAATAAAATTAAAGAAGAAACGTTTGGAGGATAGGGTCGTAAAGGCAAGTACTTTTTAATCGTAATTTGTAGTTTTTATTAATATTTTTAACATATTTTTATATTTCTTTTTTATCCAGGGCCTCTAAGGATATCAGTTTTTGTAAATGTGGGAGTTACCATAGCTAATTCTTCTTCGTCTTCTTCTACCCAGGGGCCTTGATCATTAGGGAAAGTCTAAACAGGCGGGAAAATATGAGCGAAGAAAAAGTAAACCGGAAGTGGGGACAATGTCTTACCAGACCAGTTCCAAACGGTCGAAAATTTGTCTTCTTCTTGGTGCCAGAAAAACACTGTTTTCTGGCACCAATCATGACAGAAAATTTGCGACCGAAACCACCGTCCCCAAAATGAAAAATTTTTCCGCCCGTTTAGACTTTCCCTTGACGTTTGCCCCCTGTCGCTCAAAAACGTTCTTCTTCGTCTTCTTCTACTTCGATTCCTTGATCATTGTTTCCCAGACTTCCCTATTGTTGGTTTGTTGTCCTGGCAACAACTCCACCAAGCCAAGTTACCCACAATTCTTTCTGGGTGAGAGTAAGAGGACGAGCCTGTTCCAGGTCAGCTCAAAATATCCAGCTTTCTTAAAATATTTTGTTGCTTGTGAGGTACTTTTACTGGAGGTGGCGCAACAAATCATCGGTAAAAAAGCAACACTGTAAGCCAGAAGCATCAGCAAGGATTACAGCCTGTATTCGAGTACGTGAGCACCATCTGTTTACTTCGTCTGCTTTTCTTTCTCTCACTTTATTCTGCACAAGTTGTCTGCACACATAAAAACTCTACTCCAAGCGGAAATACATTTCTCAATTGTTGGGAGAAAAACAAATTAGGAGGCTTGGAGAATACATAAATCAGTTGTGCTTTTGAAGAATACGTGTACGTTTAAATACGCTGTCCTGATCGCGTGGAAGCTAATATGAGGGAAGAAGACGTAGAAGTTGCCATAAAAGTTGTGGTAGTTGGAAATGGAGCCGTCGGAAAAAGCAGCATGATCCAGAGATACTGTAAAGGAATATTCACCAAAGATTACAAGAAGACGATAGGAGTAGACTTTTTAGAGCGGCAAATAAGGTTAGTTTTAGGATCTCTCAGTGCTAGATCTGTTTATAATGAACTCAGTTAAGCAAGGAGTATTGATCAAGATACACTCAATCAGAAGACGAGACCACTTGGTGATTTGGCGATAAACATCATTCGTTTTGCAATTCTTCCCTACATATGTAAGCAATGTTTACGGTCAAAAACTATCGCAGTCTGTGCGTACGTAGGACTCTGTATTCTAAACATTTTTTTAATCGATTTGGTTGTGGATCTTTTGCAGTATACGAAGCGAAGACGTTCGACTGATGCTGTGGGATACGGCAGGGCAGGAAGAATTCGACGCCATAACCAAAGCCTACTATCGCGGTAACGTTAATTTCTCGTACATAAATTTGATATATTTTTAAATAGTTAAGGAAAAATACACAAAGCGATGCCCAGAATATGTTTCCAAAGTAATACCTTTATGCTAAAGGAACTTTCAGAGGTTTTCTCAAAAATTGAATCGATTGAGAAAGCGCACAAATATAAATAAGCTTAATCTCAGATTAGATTTGCGATCTAATGTAGAACTAGCCTGATAGAAGTGAAGTACAAAATACAAAATAGACTTTAAAAAAAATTAATAAGAATTTAAGTATCCTGGGACTCGTGGTAAAATATTAAAAGTTCTTTTATCCTAAACATGTTTAATGTGTCAACGATATCACAATGAATAACATTTTATAGACGTCGTTCCTCGAAGGAAATTAATAGTTTTGTTTACGTGGTTAACTTTATATTATTATTTTGTGCGTTTGTTAACAACTGGGATGAAAGATATGAAAAACATTTTTCGAATTCACATTTTTTCTGAGATTGTTTTGAATAACTATTTGCGATGTTGGGTAAACTCTTTTTTCCCGCAGTAAAATGCTTTCGAGGCGTGGATTCGACCTTTTTGCTGTGGACTAGTGTGATCACAAAGAAAATTAATTAGACGAAGGGGTCGGCTGTTACAAAGAGATTTCTTTGTGAATGACTGTTTTTACATATATTGTTTTCTTTGTTTTATGAAACGTCTTGAAGAGCGCTTGAAACAAGAACACAAAAGGATTTTCAAACATACTATAAAAGTCTTTTCACTTCACTGCTCCTTGTGAATTTTTTAGAAGATCCAAGGCATGTTGATGACAGGGCCATTGCTCATTATGTATAATTTAGGGTTTTATCGGTTTGAAGCTGCATTTTTTGTGTTCATACTGATGGGCATGTATTGAAATTTAAAATCTTTCTGACTTCCCAGTGTTTGGACACAGGTCTAGACTAACCTGATGTCCTTTAGTATGTTGACGTGCAAAGTAATGGTTATTAGGTTTGAGGCACACTGATTGGCTTGAGGATGATATTATACAATGTGCAACGCCAAGGACTTCCTGTGCCAAAAATATACTAATCCCCAACTAGTGCAATTGATAAAAAACCAATATCATATCAGAAAACCAATGCTGATAAATCAATAATTGTTGATGGGGGCAGTGTAAAATGCAGACTGTGGACTGACTGTGGACTATTGTTTTTAGGGTTAGAAAACAATGGGACTGTTGTGGTCACGTACTTATTTGCATGGTGAAAACAATAGTCCGCAGTCTGCATTTTACACTGACCAATGTCGAAAATCACCTTTTTATTGATATCAATTGTACCGGTCAGTCAACAGAAATTGATAGCAACAACTGCTAAAACACATGGAAATTTAAGCGCCGATTAAAATTGATAACTTCAATCAAAATCAATCAAAATCAATAATATTATCAATTAGCAACAACTTTGTCATTTATCAATTTTTATCCATTTTTAATTTAATCAATCGATTGTTGACTCTATCGATTGCACTACCCAGGATTAATTGCAATTACACCAAAATAAAGTGACAAATTGCCTGTGATGCAAAGAATTATTTGCACCAGACAAAATCTGATTGTTTACATGTGCAAGTTTTGCAATACTCCCAGGGGAAAAAACTCTGTACTTTAGAGCCCTGCAGAGTGGCTACAAAGCTGTAAACAAATCATGTTATGTTCTACGGTAAGAAACAGTTTCTTTTTCATTGATATTTCATATAACGACCATTCAGTTGTGAATTTGACTACAAGGGTCTTCTCTACATTTATGACCATTAAATTTTAGTAAACAATGTCTGAAAGAGCCCCTTTAGAAAAGCGCTGTTAAAAAGGACAAGGATTAGTAAAAATTAGTTGCGAGCAGGGCTTTTTTAAGGATGCCTCGCACAGGGTTCACTCCCTTCTTCCCCAAAAGCATAAAACCCAGTTCTGTTAAAGAAATTGATGCCGATTTTATATCCAAATAATGAAAAATGAAATATGTGATTTTGTCTTAGGATATATAAAATATTTTTTTATTTCATGAATATTAATTTTTTAGCTTTTTTTTACATCTCTGTCATAAATATTGTGCAATTCAGCCCTTGAGCTTCAAGGTGATTTTCAAACTGCCTACTTTTGTGTTTATAGGTGCTCAGGCCTGTGCAATAGTTTTTTCCACTGTTGACAGAGACTCCTTTGAAGCTGTAGAAAAGTGGAGAACAAAAGTAAAGCTTGTTTATTCAATTATTTGTGTATTTTGCATTCAGCAGTGCATTACAGTTACCTGCTGCATACCCATACCCATGGCAGTACAAAAGTTCTGTCCAGTAGCTGTAAAAGTGGTTTCTTAGGCCTGCACAACTTTCCCAGGGACATAAAATTTAAGTTTTTCAAGTACTGTAATGATTCAATTTAGCACCCTCCTTTGAATGTGTTTTTGTTAATAAGCGCCCCTATTCTACTATAGCTAAAAAAAAGAGTATGGGTACGTATCAACTGGGGTTCATCTTCCTCCACAAATGAATGGTAATGCCACATTACAAAACAAGGATCCTTTTGATGGGATCAATGAATCAAACGTCGAAGATAGCGCACCAGAAAGCTTTTATTTACGGTATTGATATGAGTGACACTGTCAAAGCTTCCAGCGTAGAAATAGATTAAAATCCGCTCATGTTAACTGAACATTCACCGTGTATTTGTTACTGTTACAATTTCTGTTATTGTTCCATTTTTAATAAAAAAGAAATAAGTGCCCTGTCTCAAATAAGCTCCCTCCCTTGAGGTACCAAAAGTAAATAAGCACCCTGGCCCGGGTTGCTCGAAGCATGGTTAGTGCTAACCAGCGTTAAATACCATGGAAACCTATACATTTTATACCTCTTAACCAACGGTTAGCGTTAACCAGGCTTCGAGCAACCGGCCCCTGGGCGCTAAATCGAATCATTACGGTATTTACAAAGACAAAAATTCTGCGCTATCCAACAAATATATAGTGATCCCTAGTCTGGGCTGGGAGAAGTTTGGAAGAAAATTAAACTAATAAATATATTTTAACATGTATACATAACTATTTAGTAAAATAATAATTATTTAATGCATCTCCCTCTGATACAACAGAATATGAAATGGATTTCTACCTTTCTGATGAGTTATATATAATACATGCATTAGATAATCTTTTCCACATCAAGGCAAAGTTGCACATGAACATTGGCAATGCATTTTTGTTTCAATCAAATATTTTCCCTTTTTAGGTGGAAGAAGAATGTGGTAGTATACCTATGGTGTTAGTACAAAACAAAATTGATTTGATTGACCAAGCTGTTGTTCAAGTGTAAGTATTTATTTATGAACATAGCTGTTTATTAGGGATTGATTGTATTTAAATTGCTAACAAAGTCTGACTGGAATCCATGTTATCCTGTGTAGCTTGCAGGATTCTTCTACACTGGGTTACTTTCTTGGCGGTGGAGCCACCATGCAAAGAGAGAAAATCACACACTGCCATTTTTCTTATGAGTTTTGAATTCCACCCACTTTTGTCACCTTGGTTGGAACTATTTGATTACCCAACCAGGAAGCTAAGAGCAGTGTAAAACGAAACTGTCCTTCAAATGCACTAGGCCAAGCATGACAAAACATAGAAGTCAAGAGAATAATCACACTCGCAGACAAAACAACTACATGTAGCGGTTATTCAGGATCCAGGATCTTAAGAGAAAACTATAGAAACTAAAACCTTTATTAAAAGGTCATTTAGTCACAATAAAAAGCTTAAGGCTTCAAAAGAGGTCAAAGAAAAACCGTTCAAATTCTGTCAGAGGGAAAGACCACAGGAAATCAAAGCACAGGAAACACATCAGCCTCATGACCTCTTGATTGGCTAAACTAACATTTACTAAGTCAAAACGAAGAATCCTCCACAGCATACTCTACCCAATTTTTCTAAGGAGCCAGTTGTCAGCGAACAAGACCTCTTTGAGGGTGAGCTGAGATGGATCAGGGAGTCTGCATCACAAAGGGCAATATTGTCTGATGGGCTTGTTATAGAGCCAATTTCTGGTCTTTAAACAGCACAAGTCTTAACACTTTCTGAATTAAGGATAGCAGAAAACCTGTCTTAAATTTGAGACCTATTTCAGTATCAAAAATGCCTTTTGAGGAGTTCATTGAACCACAAATCAAAGCAAAGCCTGTTAGCTTGCTCAATTTCATTTCATTTCATAACTTTCCCTTGGAAGAGACTAGAGATTTCCATTAACATTTGATTGACATGTTATCACCTCTCAGCCAATCAGAAACTCCTGTCTACGTGGTTGTCAGACTATGCAAAATACCCAAGATTTAGGGCAGGCAGGGTCTTAATTTTACTTGCCCCAAATCTTCACTAGGCTCTGCCGCCAAAAAATTGCAGCACTCACCTGCTAATCCGCCAGCTACACAGCTTTGCCACTCTCACTTTGCATGCCTCTGCTTATTTCAACTTTCTGCTTATTTTTCAGAGATGAAGCAGAGTCTTTAGCCAAAAAATTGAGGTTAAAGTTTTATCGTACATCAGTAAAGGAAGATCTTAATGTAAATGATGGTATGTGATGGGTAATGGATGTTCTAAATTAGTTTATGATGTATTGCATCTGATCCCATTATTAGAGTAAAGAATTGTGATGTCTAAAATATAAGAATTGAAATTATTGGTTTTGTTGTGACTGTCTGAAAGTAGTACTTATTGCAGGCCATAAATAGTTTCCTTGGACGACACTGTATATGAATATTTCCAGATTACATTTAGTAATTATCATTTTATTTGACATGTAGGTAGTGAAGTTTAAACAACATGTGAATGTATTGAAGATAGAACCAATAATAGAGAAGGCAAAAGTTTTGAAATTATTATTGATTTTTTTATGCCATGAGAACCAAAGAAATGTGTTATCTCTTAATTAATGGGTCTGTGTTACGTGTATTTCAGTATTCATGTACCTGTCTGAGAGATATTTAGAAGCATTACAAAATGTTGATGTAGAAGAACCAAAATCACAGCAACAAAAAAATGGTAAGTGTTTACTTTGCTTGCTAGGCCATCAGTCATCTACACGAGGCAACTACCTGTAAAAATTGAATTAAAAAATTTCCAGATCTCACTGATTTAAATTTATTAGCCTCTGGTAGTGTAGGCATTTTTGTTTGCTTGGGTTTCAAATTCTGACTTGTTCAGGTAATGCATTTTGTTTTTGTTTGAGCAAGTTATAAGCTAGAGGGATTAATGTTATTATAATTATTTAAGAGAATCCCTCACGCTAAACGACCAGCTTGCAAGGTAATGATAATTAATTTTTTTTAAACCCATTCGCCCCTGAGCTACCCTTAATCACCCGTGCAGACTTTGTCCTCCAACTTGTGTAGAGTGAAGAGATCTTTTCTTTCAAACCATACCATAATGAGCAGAATTCAGTTAAGTACACCAGAGGAAAAGGCCAAAAAACCATGTAGCATTGACCTGAAAATTTCCATGAAAATCTTGTTCCACTACCCACCTACCTTTCCTTTCCTTTCATCTAATCCTACGATCCTAAAAGCTTTCCTAAAAACTTTTCCCACCAAAGTGAAGCCTACTAAATGCCCAGCAAGAGAAAAAAAATGAGGCAAGAAAAGCGAAAAAAGAGGAAAGAGAGAAAGCAAAAAATAAAACTGCTGTGTCACTTTTAAACCCAAAAACTCTCTTGAAATTTTGCTTTCTGCGCATGCCCGAATTTCACAAGCTAATATTTTGCATCTGGATCAGAAGGCCATGAAGTGTACGACCTGGAAACGGCTTTGTGGTAAGTTTTAGCTCTTTATAGCACAACAGTGACCAGAAAACCACCCGACTAGCTTCAAAACGTGTTTTCGGCAAAATCTTTAGGGGCGAATGGGTTAATTACAGTGTACACTGCTTTTTAGCCATGCATAGTAAAGTTCTATGGAAGTGTGTTGTGTGGTTGCATTTCTTTTAAATTGATTGACCTCTGGTCCCTTTAGAACCTATCCCATCCCCCCTCCTCACCTCACCTTATTTTCCGTTTCTATCCCCTTTCTATCATTTTTTTTCTTCATTAGCAGGTGCTTTATTCTTAACTCATTCTGGATTTCATTCCTTTTTTATCTGCCAGTGGCTGGAATGTTTAACACTGCATCACCAGCGAACAATTCTCAGCCTGGAAATAACAATGCACGTGCAGCACAACAAGTAGAAAGTGGAGATATTATTACACTAAAACCTAACAAGCAAAGAACAAAGGGTAAAAAGAAATTGGCATGTTCTTTGTTGTAATGCTTGAATCCTTGCAAATTCTGGAACACTTGCACAGCATCAATAATTGAAATACAGCAGTATGAATGTGTGTCATTAGGAGGAAAGCTGGAATGACAAGAATCCTCCATCAACTGTCATTAATTGTCCCACAGGAGACTGCCAATAAATGTGAGACATCAATTCACTAAATGGTGAACATAATCAGTTTTTGGGACATAATATATTTACTTTTAAAATTATTATTGAATAATAGGCTATGTAAACTCAAATAAAAACTCCTTTTAGATGTTATGGCAGCTTCTTTGGTGTATAGAGCAAAAGGAAATAAAAAATAATCCGTTAGGAAGTAAATTATATTTTTATCAACATTTTTCCATTATTGGTTGGGAACACTAAATTAGTTGCCATAAAATCTATTTACACTAGTTTGCAGGTGCATTGGTAATATAGAAAAATTTAAAGGAATTTCAACATAAGTGTCTCTTATAAAATGTTGTAAGTACATGTATATATATCATGTTGAAATTACAAGTTTGTACTTCTGTTTATATTGGAGAAAACAAGTGTTGTTTTAGGACTCTTTATTGGATTTCCTGGGGTAATTACCATTTACTTGGGAAAACAGGAAATTCTGGTTGGAAAATCAAATGGCTTGCGACATTTTGTTTGGGAAGCTTCAGAATATATGGGCTGTGTTTGCAATGATGTAATATTTTTCTACTCTTTTTAGTCTGCTCAACAGATTTGGATATAAAAGTAGGTTGGGTTTCATCATCCGGGTGAACGTAGTCCTGAATAGGACTGTTGTTGTTGACAGTGACTGATGTTTCGACAACCTGTGCAGTAGTCATCTTCAGAGTCAAAAGTGATTTGGATATAGTTTGTAGTGGATCGTCCTCCTACCACATCAAATTCCATAGTGTTATGTTTATGCACAGAATTTCCACCCTGTGGTTTCTGTAAATGATAAGCACCCCTGGATTCACTTTGAAGAGAATCTGACACGGATAAATTTTGTTGTTACCCATTCCAAGTAATATATATTTACAAACGTCAACGGGCTGAACTTTACACCAGCATAAAATATAAAGCAGTACAAAGAAATTCAGTTTCATTATTTTGACTTGCAGTGTTAAAGATGTATTCCATTTTGTGAGAAAGGAATCTTTACTCCTTGGATATAATGTAATAGTGATCATTTAAAAAAATTGTCAATTTTATAGGAAAAATCAAGAACCTAGAAGAGATCTTTGGTTCAGTTAGAACCAACTTCTTTTACACTCAGTCCATGCTCTCAATTTCAAGTGGTGATTGAAACAATCCATGCAAGAATGTGTGAAGGAGCATTGTTCAGATTTTGAGTATATGATCCCGAAGAGTTACAACTCTTTAGAAATCTGCTCCTCTTACAAACAATGTCAAGTTTACCTCAGAGTTTGTAACAGTCTAAAAATTGTGACAATTTTTTACCTAGTCTTGGACAAGATGGAAGGAGGTAATACCTAGGCTGTCTAATCCTTAAGTCTTGCTCTTGGGGACATGAAGAAGAGAAGCCCTCCTAGGGATGAGGTTAGGAGGGAGGAGAGGTGGGGCAGGAGTGAAGAGGGAGGATGCTAAAGCAAAAATTCCCATTCTAGACCAAAGTCACCCTAAACTAGAGTGTAGGTGATTAACGTTTCAATTCCTATCTTAAGTTATTTTATTCTGCCGTTGTGTTTCCCAGGAAATGATATTCCTTTTATTTCTATACCCTGTTATAGCAAGACTAACCTGCTTACAAACCAAAATGCTTTGCAGCAACATGTAGCATTATATAATTATTTCAGTATCTTTCTACTTCTTCCTTGCTACCTATCCCGATTTATAAGCCCTGTTGTTTTTGTGTTATTAAAATTTGTTTCGAGAAAAATTATTGAGAGTTAAAGTCACTTGAGTGTTACTTTATCTGTGATCTCTCTGATCTTATTCAACCAACAAGTTGTTGGCAGTTTCTTGCACTTAGCCAACTTATGTGAAGCCAAAATGTGGCCCTCCGTGTTCATTTCCCCCTTTTTATAAGTATACACATATAGGCATTCTAACTTTAATTGGTTAAGATTGATTCACAATATGAGACTTCATGATCTGTTGGACTCAGACTCATAGGTAAACTTGCATTTTTGTTTTGGGATTTTAAGGCAATCCGTGGACTTCTGGATTTGTTTATAACTGGGATGCTCTGAGTAAATAAATAAATGTTTTATTTGTCCAGAAATTGTTCGCAAGGGACTGACTAATTAGGTGTGATTGAGGACAGGCCAATTTAGACAAGACTTAGAAAGCAACTTTATTCTATCTCAGGCTTATGAATCGGAATATCTTTGAAAAGAGTAACTTACGAGTTCAAAGAAACAATACGCTAAATCTGGAGTGCTTTAAAAGACGTCCGTGATCAGTTTTTAGAAAATCTCAATTTCTCCATACATTTTGTGTAATTTTGATACTGTTGAATTACAGAAAATGTATGGGAAAATCAAGGTTTTCGAAAAACTTATCACGGACTTCTTTGCACTCCAGATTTGGTGCATTGTTTCTTTGGACTCGTAAGTTACTCTTTTCAAAGAGAAAGCATCAAATATATGAATTCAAGAAGAATTAGCTGGCTTTGAATTCCAATACAAATCTTCGAATTTCCCGCCATCTTGCCCTGATTACCCATGATGCAACTATGAGGGTAAACTCCTCTATTGAAAAGTTAGGGTCGTTAATAGACCTTGTCACGGTTTTCGACGCCATCTTGACGAGTGGGCAAACGCGTGAGAAATTACAGTGTTTGTTAGCCTGAAATTCATCCGATTGCTTCAAGTCGTTTTCTCCTCTCAACAACACGTTACTGAGGAAGTAATAACGACTCGAAGTAATCGGATGAAATTCAGGCTACAGTGTCGAATAATTCCCGTAGAACGGCTGTTCTGAAAAAAAAAAAAGATTTGTAAACTAAAGCTTCACTCCTAAGGATTCTCCTGAAAAAAATAGACGACGAACAGTCTCTCTTTTTTTCTGTAGTACGTCGAGCAAAACGCGAGACACGCAAAGGGCCACGCGCGTGACTGATGGCACGAGATGGAAATTTGAGGGCGTTACATGCACTAGAAGACCTAGAGCCACTTTTTAAAATTTTCTATACATTTGTCTGTAAGAAAATCCAGGCAAAATTACAGACAACTATACGGAAAATCTAAAGCAAGCCTCTGGAGAGCACAGGTACGCCCCCCAAATTTTTTAGGACAATCCTTTGCTTTGTAGCTTTAGTTTACAACTGATATTTTTTTCAGAACAGCCGTTTTACGGAAATTATTCGACATTAGATTCTCATACAAACACTGTAATTTCTCACGCGTTTGCCTCCTCGTCAAGATGGCGTCGAAAACCGTGACAAGGTCTATACCTTTAAGTAATTCTAATATTCTTGAATAAAAAGACAAAACTGATATAGCTCAGGCTACGCTACTTACAGAGAATACAGGGCGCTTTCCATTCAACCAAAAAGTCCGGTGTGAATTTTTGGCAACTTTTGGCAGCGAGTAGTTCCAAAATTTTGAAAAAGAGGAGGACCTCGGGAGGTATGCCCAACCGACACATCGAAAATTCCCGCTGCACCGCGAGAAAAACCTCTGGTACCCAGGATACCCGGCGGTTTTCTTTCCCTTCAACTTTGCTCGCGGAATTTCTTGAATTTTCGGTTGAATGGTTCGCATTTCGGAAATTCAGCAGTTTTCAGAATTTCTGGAAACTATTCAGGGAAATTTCTGAACCTTTGTTACTGCTGACATTTACGAAAGTTTTGGTTGAATGAAAGCTAAGGAGCTGGTATAAAGGCGGAAAAGGTAAACGGAGCGAGGCGCCCTCTTTTTGGGGACGCTGGTCAGCAGTTTCATTTGTGATACGTGCGCGGAGTCCTTCAACCACAGGCAGCTCGCGCATGTCGGTCTCTTTTCGGCTGCCTCCATCACCAGAGGTAAGCAACAATTTTTAAGAAAAGATGACGACGTATGACCCTTGATTTTAGGACAAATAATATCTTTACAGATCTCTAATACTTCGTTAGCTTCTTGGCTTTCAGATTGAAGCAAGATTGTATTCGGATGGCCCCAACCAAGTGCTTTATTTCAACGTCTTCCTAACCATCACTAAGTTTGTTTTCGTCCTAGATTAGCCATGCCTACAGCAAAAATAGTGAAGCCTCAAGGCGAGCCTGATGAATTTGAACAGACAATTTCCCAGGTATTTTGTTAGCGTTTTTCATGTGCTGTCGTTGAATTTGACACTGCATCCATTTCCATGCTATCGAATGCTAGGCCGTTATACTGTCAGTTTTGTCGACGTTTGGTTGTTCACGTGGAAAAAAATTATTCAATTTTCTTTGCTACAGGCTCTTTTGGAGCTAGAACTGAACTCCACGGATTTGAGGTCAAGCCTCCGAGAGTTGTACATATCAGGAGCGAAGGTATCGTTTAATAACTTGCCGTAGAATATTTATTTTAAATTACACGAAATGACTCGGTGGTTTTGCTTTGATCGCTCATGTTGTCGTTGAATTAACTCCTCTACTAAGGGCCATAGTCAAGGTATCTGGAGTGCTCTAAAGTTTGTTTGTTGCGAACTTTTGATTATTCTTTTGTTCAATAGCTTAACTGGTTCAAATGATTGTTCTCCAACTTCAGGAATCACCAGCAATTTTAAAGGGGCATAAAATAAAGTGTGTGAACTTTCCAGTGAATTATTAAATATGTTCACTTATAGACTGAAATCATGTTTGCTCATTTTGTATGAGGAGAAGTATGAAAGGACTGCATGAATTAACAAATACAGGGCTACTGAGAATTTTTATCATTTTAAATCTCAGTATACGGATACACTGTACATGGTTGCATTACCATTGCTTTCTTGTTTTGGAATGTTTTCAAAAGTGGGCAGCAGATGTTTTGTAGAAGATTTGTACCAGGCTCTCTTTTATTTACAAAGCAAAACGAAAATTGAGCCTGATCTCAAGTAAGATCAAGGGGGAGGGGGTGGACAAAGGCACTCTGTGATGAAAAAAGTTGCCGCCCCAGTCTGACATTTTGTCATGATGAGTGGCCAACACTTGTTTCTGAGATGAGTTGTCCAAACAGAGGTCCAGGGTGTTGTCACAGATATGTGTTGACAATGTGATGTAAACATTCTAAATAAAAAGTTCAGAACATGAAGGATTTGTTTTCGTTCTCCAGACCAGTTTTTGGTAGGTTAATTGTCAGAATTTCTGACCTATTGCTGGTTATTACTGCTGTTAATTGTTAAGTGGTTTGAACTCCATTACATTTTAGGAGATAGATGTGGCTGGCAAGAAGGCTATTGTCATATTCGTACCAGTGCCCCAAATCAGGCCTTTTCAGAAGATCCAGGTATTTAAAAGTTAATCATACTGCATATTTCTAACTTGCTCTTTTACGGTTCAACTAATGATGGTAAAAGCTATCTTCATTTGATGATAATTGCAAACAGGAACTAGAAATATAACGCATTCATAATCAATTGCATTTTATGCCTTAGAAACAGCTGCATGTATATGTTTGGATGTATGTATATACTGATGATGTGTCGTTTGTGGGAAAACCAGTTGTGGCATTGCAAAATGTCTGCTATTTTGTCAGGCTAACAGATAATGAAGTCTTCCTATTTCTGGACCTTCCATCTTTGTTGATAGAGGAAAGACTTCTGATATCATGCAATGTTGCAATACTTTGTACACAACTGATGTCAAAATTAATGCATCTTATCACATAATCCATAAGAAATCTAGTAACTGACTGTCAAAAAAATTTTGATCTTGACAAAATACATGGTAACAAACTTACAGTACTACTGTAATGCAGAGCATCTGAAATCTTAAACACTTGTAGGAATGTAATGACTCTTGGTGTTCCATGTGAAACCCTCTCAACAGTAATAACATAGTCACTTGATAAACCTTTCTTGTACCACATACTTGGAATGGGAAATTTGGCATAATTTCCATTATTTTTTTGCACCCTCTCAGAGGAGTTGCTCTGAACCATCAGATAGTTATTCTGGTTTGATGTTTATTTGGACATTTTTTATTCTTTTCCAATTTATATATTCAAATTGTAGAGTGTTGATGTCAATCCTATTTTTCTTTTTTTTCTACCAGGGAAGGTAGTGACAAAAAAAATATTTTTAACAATTAACTTTTTTCTTTTCCCTCAAAGACCCGTCTGGTTCGAGAGCTTGAGAAAAAGTTCAGTGGAAAACATGTGGTCATTGTTGCTCAGGTCAGTACCTTAGACAAGGAAGATCATTCCATTTATGACACAACAAAACATCTGAGTCCTGCAACAACCTTCTTAAGACTACTTTGATAGTCAACAAAGTTTAGGGCAAAAGACCCTACCACCCCATTTTTATTTATTTATTTATTTGTTTCAATTTTTGATAAAGAGCAAGCTGCAATAATCTATTAACCCTTCGTCTTCCGGGGTCGCCGAAATCGGAGCTTCAGGAACGGTGACCAAAGAAATTTCGCAAAAAATTGTGTTACTTCCGATTGCTCCCAAATTTGGCACACAGGAAGTTAATAGATTTAGCCAATCACCTGCCTAGTTCCAGCCCCTGTCGACTTTTGACCGTCACACACCGGGTTTTCGAAAATTTTGAATTTTATGGCGAGTCGCGGGGAATCTTTGTGAGCCGGTTTTGCGAATAATGAAAGCTTGTATCGACGAATGTCAACCAAATACAACTCAAACAAACTATTCTGAAGGATTTTGGAGGATAACAAGCAAAATAAACGCGAAAATCGAGGTTAGGAAACAATTAGAATCTGTGCATGCAAATCGCCGATCACCCACTCTGTGCCACATGTTCTTGAAATGGCGACGATTTCCTTCCCGTTTTGCCTTCGCTTCACTTTTCGCTGTCAAATTCTTGCTTATTTTGATGAATTCTATCAGCAAATTCATGTCTGCTTGTCCCTAACTCGATATTTTTTTGGGAATCGAGGAAACAAAGCGTCTCAGTGAAGTAAACATGGGGTCACGAGGTGACGCCAAAGGATTATGCTAATTATGATAATCCAATTAGCATAATCATGACAGCGTGCAGAAAAAAATTTGTAGAAAATTTCTAGTCGCTCCATATTTTAGAACGATTTTCGGGTTTTTTTACTTACATATTGATGAAAAATATTTCTTGCTACCATATCACCCAAAATAAAGAAGTTTCCTAGCTAAATGACATTCTTTAAAATTTTAAAAAAATTTTATGCAAAATATGCTTTTTAAATTTTTTTGTGGTGGAATATTATGGGTTTCCTATGACCGAAATATTTTTTTTTCGAAAGGGTATTCTTTTCCCTTTCCAATGAGGTATAGCTTGATATTGAACTGTAAATAACACCAGAGATATGATTTTTTAAAGTTACATGGCAAAATACATTGAAATAATTGGCTGCAGACAATGAGTTAAGACTGCTAGAAATCGTTTTGAACATCCTGAAGGAAGTAAACTTGTCATCTTTGATAGTGATGTGCCAGAGATATAGCAAAACTATATTTTTTTCCAAACCTGTCATAAAAATGTCTGATAAATTTTTCAGCCTTAAAAGGCAGGTAAGGTAATTTCTTTATTAGTTTTCAACCTTTCACTCTTAAGCTTATCAAAGTTAGTGATTTAAGGTGTTTTTTTCCAGTGGTATTGATGGATTTTCCGCTACTGGTCCAAGTCCAAAGTTTGAATAAGTGTGGAAGGATCTATTAGTGACAAACGAGGTCATTTTGTAGGGTCCAGTTTGTTATGCTTCTTGTATACTAAGTTACTAAAATACTATATTTTTTCAGTTATAAGGCACTGTTGGTTATAAGACGCACCCCAAACTTTTCAACGCGATTTTTCTAAATTTACAAACTGAAAATTAAGCCAAAATACCTGGCTACAAGGAACAGGTGGAATTTTTGACAATGTTCTCCCTAACTACAACAACATGCTTTCCAACAATGCTGATTACGGCCATTCACCCGTGTGAACAAATGAGAAAAAATCACACCTATTAACACAAAAAACATTGTTTTCTAAAGCTGTGAATACTTGGGTGTCCGTTTTGTTACATAAACAAGTCAGCTGTCTTGGTTGCAGCATATTGACATCGGTACATGCATCAGTAATATCAAGATAAAAGTGACCGCATAATACATGAGCCTGAATATTTGTTAATTAAGTGCCAAATCTGGTAAAATTAAGCCCTTGTTTAACAAAATAACTGTGATAAAAGACCTCTCACAGTTCTATTTAACAGATTAGGGAGCTTTCTTCAGAAAATAAAGGTTTGGAACAAGCGCAAGATCGCAGTGTTTAGAAATGGCTGTAAACAAACCGCCATCTTGGGTCAAGCACATGCTCAAAAACTCGCCTGGTTACCAAGCATCAAATCAGTATAAAACAATCAATGCCAGATGATTTGATTTCAATGCAAGATGATTTGTTCATCATTTAATACCAGCTTTAGAAGATTTACAAGCGATAGCAAAGAAGAGGATGAGCAGCTGGAGCTTTCGGAGGCAAAATTTTGTCTTGTTGCCCGAAGATACTTGGTTATAAGATGCATCCAGAAATTACAACAGATTTAGAGCTATCAAGCAAACTTTCATTGAAAAAATGCTGCACCTTATAAGCAAAAAAACAGTATGTCACACATTACATTGATTCTCTTTCTGTTAGTTGAATAGCAATGTTTGGCAGTATGGGAAACCCAGTTATACCCATTAGGACACTCAGTGATGAAAAAATGATGCCGCTCCAGTCTGACATTATTGTCATGATGAGTTACTAACCATTTCTGATGAGTTGTTCAAAGAAAATGTTTGTAAACTTGTTTAATACAAGTTTTGTTAGTAATATCATAGCTTTCCTTTATAGAGAAGAATACTCCCAAGACAAACAAGGAAATCAAGGAATCAAAAGCAAAAAAGACCAAGAAGGTAGTAATGTAGGATAATTTTAAATATAGAGCATATTGCTGTTCTAGCGACTCTGGTTTAAATCTAACCAAAGTTTGAACAAGATTCTTGTTTCATATATATAGGATATTACGTGGCCATGTGGCGATACAAAATTTTTCTCTGAGTGTTAAAAAATATTTCATGAGTGAGCATAGCAAACAAGTGAGGTATTTTCAACAGGAGAAGAGAAATTTTGTATCTCCAAGCAGCTATAGATGCTTTATTCTTTATTTCAAATTAAAGGTTTGAAATTGACTACAAAAGCTTACAGTCAGTCGTACGTATTGATCATAGATCGATACGTAGAATTAGATGAAAAATCCACCTACCCCAGACATTTGGAAGTAGTATATAATTTTTTTATTTTTTTTTTTCTGTTAGGCTATCCAGTGTCCTAGGTTTGTTTCCCAATCCCTTGGCTTTTAGTTCCTTTTGTTTTATGTGGGAGTAGCCATTGTAGTTTTAAACGCAGCATCAGTAAAAATTGTGAAGCCGTAACAGGGCTCGAAATTAAAAAAATCCTCAAGTCGCCTTTTGGCGACCAACTGGAGAAAAATAGTCGCCAGTTTGTAAATGACACAGTCAGGGCTTCTGATATTTCGCGCGGGTCGCAGAGCCACGAAATTCACAAAAACACGCAAAATACCGCAAAATTCGGTAGAAATCTTATCAAATACATGTCTGTACAACATGTTTGAAACGTTTGTCAGCTATTGGGGTTATTTACTTGCCGTAAACTTGTAAATTTATCTTGAAACTTCGTCACTGAAACGTGCAAACAACGTTTCGAAACTACCAGCCGTAAATTATGTTGCAAAAAACTGGGCACTAGCCATGATGTTAAAGGCTTTGCCATTGGTTCATTTCTGGAGCATATTCTTGTTGAAAGAGCAAATGATGACCTCTGTTAGAAAAACATAATAAAAATGCTGGTCTGGTCAGCCCAAAACCGATCGAACAAAGTTTTCCCGAAAATAACCACAAAATCGTTTTTTTTTTTACCGATTGATTTTCGGCTAAGTTTGCCCCAAAAATTCCCGCAAAATCAATCGATTTTTCTGCGAATTTGCCCCTAAAAATCCCACGAAATTAGACTTTTTTCCCCCGACCTATCAGAAGCCCTGCATAGTACGGTGCGATCCATCAGATTTGAAAATATTGTGGGTAGAAGTTGGTATAAATTTGGAGGTAAACTGGCTGTGTTTATGCGATTTGGCACATTTTTTATTATGAAAGCAAGGCAGGATAGGATGAAATGTTTGTTTTAACTTTACTCTTTTAATTTAAATCTAAATCATAGAGAAATCTGGCGACTAAACTAGAATTTTTAGTCGCCAAGCAGAAAATGTTAATCGCATTGGCGACTGTATCAGTCGCAATTTCGAGCCCTGCGTAGTTATGTTTGTTCAGATATCTCTGGATGCTTGAAAGAAGACCTCTCAATTTTGTGGGTCTTTAGTCGAAGCCATCTTTTTTTCTACGCCAAAGATGAATTTCGAAAGGTGGTCTTTCAGAACTTGTGGTGAAAGCTCATGATGAGATGTTGAATCAAGCAAGCCAGGGTTTGATGTCTGAATGAAATTCTTGAATAACTCGACATCATATGCAGTTTTCCTCTTTGTTTTTGTATTTTCTTGTTCTTCTACAAATTTGATCTGTTCTTCAGCTGTATTCTTGACAAACCACTTCAGCTTGTCTTCATTTTATAATAAACTCAAAACTTAACTTTGACTGGCAAATAGACCAACGCAAAAACTCCAGAAAGACCAAATGACAGAAAACCACAAGTGCTTGACAGCGCGTTAAAATACTCTGGGCTGATTGGTCAAAAATAGAAATGACATCACTACTGGCAGGATAGCGCATTTATTGGTTTTCTACCAGTCAGTATATCACTAACTCTTATATAATAAAAGGGTTTTTGAACAGAGGGCCTAACAAAGAAAACAATCATACTGAGCATAACATTGAAACCTGGTTCAACTGCTGCACTGCTCCATGACTGTTCGCACAAAAGATTATTTTTATGGCTTTTGTTGGACACAGTGAAACACCCTGCAAACCAAGAACTGAACAGTCTCTTTAAAATTGGCTTTGCTGGATGCACTGATTTACAATCCTTTGTTGATTTCCAGTCGTACTTTGACTTCTGTCCATGATGCAATTCTTGAGGACTTGGTCTTCCCAAGTGAAATAGTGGGCAAAAGGACAAGAGTTAAAATGGACGGATCAAGGTTAATCAAAGTGTAAGTAAAACATACATTAAACAGAAGTGTAAAGATTGTTGTATTTGTGATGATGTCACAGTTACTGATAGCCTGCTAGCAAGCTGTCTGGGGTGCTCTGGCGGCAAGGCAAAGAGCTTTTTTGCCCCGCTGCTAGAGTGCCCAAAGAGCTGGCTCACAGGCTACAATACAGGAGGAATTTTAATCAAGGTATGAAGCATTTTCCTTTGGAAGCATAACGTTGACATTTAGCACTCACTAGGAAAGAATGTCTGATACAGTGTTTCACTGCAAGCCCTAATAATTTTATATCAAGTCAAAGCTCTTTATAGCCTTACTTAATTTTTAATTATAGTAAATTGTAAGAGCACCTTCTGTATTGACTAGCGTTTATTTCTTCTTTGCTACAGTCACCTTGACAAGCTTCAGCAAACTAATGTAGATCACAAGGTAAGACCAGCGTCATTCATTCTGTTACTGGTTTCCGTCTTATTTACTATTAATTAAATTCTTTGAATCTTGTATTATAAAAAGTTCTTGGGTGTCACTGGTTCTTGCTGTTGTTATACGTGTATGATCATTCATTCATTCGCAAGAATTTCTTTTATTTGCATGTAGTAGTGGTCAAATATCTTGCTGTATAGTTTGTCTTCTGTTTGAATAGTAGAACACTTGCATATTCTTTCAAAGACTTAACAAATCAATCACCTCCCTGTACAGCAAATTACAAAATACTGAACGTCCTACCCCAAGAACTCAGACAACATTGCAATTTTGTTTATTATATCTTTTACAAGTTACTGAACTGAAATTCTTTCTTGTTGTAGTTGGACACATTCTCCACTGTGTACAAGAAGCTCACAGGCAAGGACGTGGTGTTCGAGTTCCCAAGTTATGACTGAAATCCTTGTTAAAAGTTTAATTAAAGTCATATCTGATATGCTTTAAATTGTTTTTTCTTGCCTCAGTTTTGTGTGCGTATTCCCCCAACCCAATAACTAAACAGTCCGGCGATAAGGAAAAGTGCGTCGAGATAAGAGCAGCATTGCAAGAGTTAGCGTTAAGTGGTGTAGGCTTACAATGCTAGCGTCATAAAGACGTGTTCATTACTTCTTTGGCCACAACAACACCTGTGGTTTGAATATTTCAGCATTACATGTTCAATATGGAATCCAGGCATTTGCTACATTTAAGCGTCCAGAATGCATTAGATTGCATCTCAGAGAACTTCAATCTCAAAAATTTTCCTGGAGAAGCATGCCCCGGAGCTCCCTAGAAAAGCGCGCCGTTCGCAGTCCTGAGGGGCGCTATGGCAGGCCCCCTCTTTCAGAAAATCCCCCGTCCGCCCCTGCCCACATCAAACTGATGACCACGCGCGGCCGGGGCACAGAAGGTCCGCGCGAGTTCGAACTTCCACGTGGCACACGTTGTTTAGGGACTTTGTGCCGAACTAGATGAAAGGGGGCGGTGTAGTGTCGTAGTCTCCTGGTAACGGGTTTACGCTGTAATATCTGCGGATGTAGTAAAAAATGACCAGTCCTTAAAGTAAACATTGCCTCGGATTATTGTCATCATTGTTAGAATTCTAATATATTGAACGAACTAATACTGTGATAACAGGGTTATTGTTCCCCTCTTTTACATTTGTCCCAATAAAGTTACATATTTGAGGGTAGTGTGATCAATCATTGTGTTTTAACATAAAAATTAGCATAGTGATTGAGTACGAACGAGAGATATGGTTCGGAGGAGGAATATATGAATTGACAAAACCTAAGACTCTACAGATATATTAAAGTTCTAACATGAATCCGAGGCTTTACGTTAAAAATTGCAAATTTTTCAAGACTCTATTGTCTCGCAATTTCCAAAAGAGACTTGAGCACAAAGGAAAACTAAACCAAACATAGAAAAATGACCAGAAAGCCTCGGAGTCATGTTAGAATTCTAATATATTGAACGAGGGTTATTGTTCCCTTGTCCCTTATTTGAGGGGCAGCATTGTCTAGGGTAAAATGAAATATTCATTTTCTAATATGGACCAGATGGGGTTTCCCCGCGGTTGCTCAAAGAATGCCACTTGGAACTAGCTCCATCTTTGACGAGGCTCTTTAATTACTCCCTCTCTCGTGGCACACTACCTTTTGACTGGAAGACGGCCAACGTAGTTCCAATTTTTAAGTCGGGGGAGCAAACTGCAGTTGAGAACTATCGCCCCGTTTCCTTAACTAGTGTGGTTGTCGAGGAATGTTGTTTAGTTTTCTTTCTGATAGTAAGTTATTATGTAATAATCAACATGGCTTCAGCTGCTCCAGCTTGTCCACGAGTGGCTCAGTATTCTTGATGAGCGTGGCTCTGTGGATGCAATTTTTCTAGACTTCACAAAAGCCTTCGATCACCTGCCACCCAAACTTCAACATTATGGAATCAAAGGATAATTATTGGAATGGATTTCAGATTTCTTGACTACAAGAAGATAAAGAGTAGTAATTGATGGCCATTCTTCCGGCTGGTCTGAGGTAACATCTGGCGTGCCTCAAGGAAGTATTTTGGGACCCTTGCTCTTTCTTGTTTATTTTAATGACTTTCCTTTAACAGTTAACTGTAACTGTGGACTCTTTGCTGACGACAGTATTCTTCATCGGAAAGTTGCTTCAAAGTCGGATTGTGAAGATCTTCAAACTGACCTCCATAGTGCCTATGACCGGTGTAACTCCTGGCTTGTTACTCTGAAGTCCGGAAAGTCCTTGCCTAGTCCCTGTGCGGCGTCTTTCCAGGCCCTCTCGGTCAATGCATTTCGGTGACGTATCCGAGACGAACTGCCGGGAGACGCCTAGACAATCTCGGAGTGCGCATGCATGAGCATTTTTGCGTTTATGAAAAGTTCCCATGTTCAACTGAAATAATCTATAAATAACTTTTAGCGTGAATATCCTTCGCTTAAAGATCGGCACTAACCTGGTTTCTCTTATCAAAGAACAAAAATATTACTTTGAATCGGAAAGAATACTACTCTATAACGTGCTAGTAATTTCTCTTTTAGTTCATTTTCAAATAAACCATTAAAATGATACAGTCGAACCCCGCTATTTCGAACTCGGTTAATTCGAAGTCCCCTCTATTTGGAAGAAAGGTCGAATTCCCTTGGATTTACCCTTATGTTTTCAGTCATTTACTATCAGCTATTTCGAACTCGGTCATTTCGAATTTCCCGCTATTTCGAACTCATCGTTCTTTCCCTACACCTTAAATCAATCTCGTTATTTCGAACTTGTCAAAAACAGAGTACGTACATAAGAGCACAGCTGGAAACATTTTGCATTTTAATTTGAGCTCGAACAAAACATTCAAAGATTTTTCGATGCAACAGCATCTGCTGATTTATCCGACATATAATGACTGTATTTTTATTTAATCAGTGTCTTTCTTCATACAGTATTGTATTTTATTAAAAAATGATTCATTGTTACCAATTTTACGCTTCCCCGGTTATTTCGAAACCCCGCTATTTCGAACTTTTTTCGATTTCCCTTGGGACTTCGAAATAGCGGGGTTCAACTGTATTTCTTTATTGATAAAAAGATTTGAAACAGTAGTTTGTTGACATTCTACCAAATTTAGAGACCAAATTCAACAGCCTGTCCGATTAGTTTGATAAGCTTCCAAATCCAAAAATTAAATTACATAAAATATTTGGAAGTGGAATGATAACGAGAAATTTATAGGAGCAAGCGAAAATAGGGAACCGAAAGTTACCTTTTCATATCCAAGAATAAATATCAACTTATTTCTTTAGCTTACCTTCCGATTCTTGATGTCTCACTTCTCTGAGTTTGTCTAGGCCTCAAAAATAGGCTTTTGTACATTATGCTAGCATTTTTTCGAGCATTTTAGTGAGGCAAAAGCATTGAGCATTATTCGAGCATTTTAAAGGCATTTTCCCCGGAAAATTAATTTTTCTGAGAAAATAAAATAGAAATTAACTTTTTTCAGGAGCCCATGCCCCATGAGCTCCTGCGTTTTTAAAGAACTGTGAAGACTAAAAATCAAAATTCACAAAAGACCTAATACAGCTGTTTTTTTGGCTGTATTTATGAACTTGTACACGTTGTCGTTGTTACTTGCAACACTTGCACGTTTTTGTGAGTGTAGACTTTGAAATTAATTTTAAAAAACTGTTTGTATAATGAGCATTCTCCGAACATTTAAGTGACTTTTTTGGGGAGACCGAGCATATTAGTGGGAAAAATGGAGCATTAAGGTGGAGCATTTTAGTGGGGAAGCAAAAGCATAATGTACAAAAGCCCACTCAAAAACTTTCTCGGACCACGTGACCCGAAACGCATCGGCCGCGCATAACAATGAGGCCTAGGGACTAGGCAAGGAAAGTCCAAGGTCCTACACCATCCATATCATCATGAGTACTGGTTGTCTGACAAACTCTCATCAGCAGTAGATCACCACAAGCACCTTGGTCTGGAATCCGTGTTTAGTGAAGTACATCAAAAGTATAGAGTCGATACAGAGGCGAGCCACTCGACGCATTTTCGAATCAGAGAAAGAATATCGGGAGAGACTTAGGGTCCTGAAATGGCCTTCGCTTGAGTTATGAAGGAAGTTTATCTGCTTAGTGCAGATGTACAAGATTATTTGGCGCGTAGGAACAGTAATTTTAATATAACACCTAAGAAGACCAGTACAAAATACTTTAAAATTTTCATTTTTTAATCGCTACGTGACAGACTGGAATAGTATTCCATCGAACATTATGCATGCACCTTCATTAAGCAGTTTTAAGTCCTATCATTGGATCATTTGTGTCAATTTTAAATCAGGTGTAACTCGTGAGTGACAAGTATGCAATTTAGTTAGGTTCGTTTTGGTCCGTATTAAATTGTAATTCTTAATTTTAGTGTCAATTTTAGTATGCAATTTAATTAGGCTAGTTTTGGGCCGCATTTAAATTTTACTTCTTAATTTTTAGTATGTTTAATATTGGAGAATATTCTTTGTATGGGAATTTAGTTGCCCCCGATTATTCTCCAGTCACGCACTTTTTGTATTTTCTGTAATTTATTTACTTGTATTAGCATGACAAAGTATTGTTAAACTTAAACTTAAAATTTTAGGCGAAAACGGCCCGAGGGCTCTGTATCCCTAATGAATGCTTGGTTTGGTTTAGTTATATCATGACGACGTTGCATTATTTTAATCAGATCAATACGTGTGTTGCTGCGCATAATACTTAATAGCTTTTTCCGCCTCACGTTTCCTTCCCGGCATGCGTTTGACCATGAAAGAGTGAAAAAAAAATCACCCCAGTTCTGCAGGCTCGAAGTCCACTATGTGAGTAATCCATCCAGCTACTACTTTTGGGGGAAATAAAGTGGATCATCACAATGGACTCTTGCATTAGCCATGGGTACTGCTGACATTGACGTCATTTAAGAGCGTGCCTGTGTAACTTGTCAGCCACCAGTTCGTTTACTTGCATTAAAATACATTATAAGATGATTTATTAAACTCAGCTCAGTTTTACATGACATAAATGTTAAATTTACATAGGCAACTAAACACAGTATTGACTAAGAATAAAAGAAAAATTTAACGACAAAATAGAGAGTGAGTTGGGATCATCCAAACAGCAATCGTTATACAATCGTTATAGCAATCGTTATTATTCTTTGACTATCTATTAGGAATGTCGAGTCAATTTCGAAACTAGTTTAAGACGTGGAACAGAGGGTTACTTTTACTTTGTGATTCATTGGAAATTTTGTTTAATTGTTGTTTGTTTTGTTTTGTTGTTTTTTCGCTTAACGACTAGTTCAAATTGAAAAGCAGCGAGTAAGAAAGTGTATTAGCAAGTTAGGATAAAAAAATTCCCTTTCACCTCTCGAAA